ATGAAAGGCACACTTGGACAAAATTAAAAAATTTTGTTGTAGTTACATTATAAACGACACGAAATAGTAAAGTTGTGGGAAACATCTGACCTGCCATCACTCTTTCACTGGAGATTTCACTAGAAAAGTCACCCTAGTGTTTTGAGTTTATGTAAAGATGTATAAAAATAAGGTGCCAGGAATTGATTCATCTGAGTCATCAATAAATCCTTGCTATTTTTTAAATTTTTTTCCAGCATATTGTGAGGGCACAAATGTTAAGGTTATGTATATTGCCCTTGCTCCCCACCCCCCTGGAGTCGGAGCTTCAAGCATGTCTATCTCCCAGTTGGTGCGCATCACATTCATTATGTATGTATATTCCCATCCCCTCCCCCCTACCTGCCGGACACCTGATAAATGTTATTCCTATATGTCCACTTAGGTATTGATCAGTTAATACCAATTTGCTGGTGAGTACATGTGGTGCTTGTTTTTCCATTCTTGGGATACTTCACTTAATAGAATGGGTTCCAGCTCTAGCCAGGAAAATACAAGAGGTGCTATATCACCATTGTTTCTTATAGCTGAATAGTACTCCATGGTATACACATACCACATTTTATTAATCTACTCATGTATTGATGGGCACTTCGGTTGTTTTCACATTTTTGCAATTGTGAACTGTGCTGCTGTAAACATTTGAGTGCAGGCGTCTTAGAGTGACTTTTGTTCTTTTGGGTAGATGCCCAGTAATGGGATTGGTGGATCAAATGGTAGATCACCATTTGATCCAGCAATCCCTTGCTCTTTAACTATAAGGGGAATATGTGTCAATTGCTACACATTTTGAAAAGCCAGTGCTGAGATCAAGCCCTGTGCCCATTCTACAGAGCAGCACTCACCCAATGTTGGCTGCAGAGTGTGTATGAGATTAAAAACTCTAGCCTCCCCCATTCTGTAGCCCTGGGACTATAGGCTAAAAAGTGCCAACCATCCAATCAAAGTATTTTAGGCAGTAGGTTTTCCATTTTGCTGGTAGAGCAACTGAACAATTAAGTGACTTCCCTACAAACATATGACCAAAAACAGAATAGAAAGTTGACTTTGGGTTCTCTGTTCATTGTATCATACTGTTTCTTTAAATTTTATGAAAACATTACAAAAAAAATTAAATGTGATACACATCAATTCTTGTGTATGGTGACAGAATGAATCACTTTTCTTGTGTACTCTAAGCATGAAATCCTCATTCTAGAAAGGCATGCTGAAGGAGTCCTTAAACACACTGGACTTCTCCATGGCCTGAAAGTGGAGAAAGAAAATCTAACAGGCAATGGAGGCTGCCAATGGAAATAAAACATAAAGAAATGAGCACCAAAATTGCAGTTTTCCCACCCATTATCTTCCACTAGTTCTGGGACAATAGATGAGACTTCATTATTTAGTGGAATAAAACAGGTGGGGATGATATTCAGTGAGTACACACCCATAAGCACAGCCAGGCTGGGTTTTTGTTCGTTTTATGAACTGCATCTGTTCTGACCAGTGTTGCTGCCAAACTAGGTGTTTCATTTTCAATATCACCCAGAGAACAGGGGTTAATTAAAGCATAGCAGGGCCAAGCAGGTGGCCCAGAGTATACCGTAGAAGTGGCCCAGAGTATGCAGTAGAAAACTAGAGAGCACATGTCCTAGTTGAAGTGGACACCTGCTACTCAACCCCAGCAATTTGAAGACATGTAAGAAAGTAAGCCCACTGTTACCAGATTTTCCAATTTTTTCTAGAAGCAGATAGAAATCCATCTTTTTATATAAAAATCTCCATATTTTGAAATATTCCTACTTTAATCTTTAAAATGCTGCGTTTGCCAAACAAAACACTGCTGGCCGTCAGATCAGAGCTTAGAGTTGCCAGTTCCCTACTGAGGGTTGTCCGTCTGTGACTGCTGGGATAGTTTCAAGCTACAGTTAAGTGTATAAATGGGGTACACTGCCCCGATGGCAGGAGAATGCCATGGCCACAGGCTTTTAGCAATTAGGTATATATCATAAATATGGGGCAAATATTTTTTAAAGTTTACTAATAGCATCAAAAGAGCAAATATTAATAATTTTTTTAGAGATACTTCAAAAATATCTCAATTATAATTAGGAACATTTTTAAACCTTTGCTACTGCTAATCATACCTAAGTCTAACCCATATTTTAAGTTGGAGCTCATGATTATAATATACTTCTTTTCTTCCATTTATTCCTTCCTTTCCCATGTCCAGCTTTTCCTAGTTTGAGATGTAAGATCATAAGACTTTCACAGTGATGACACAAAATAATATATATAATATGCTTAGAACAATGCCTAGCACATAGTAATAAATCAAACATTATAAGAATCTACTAAGAATATTATTTAGCTGTCAAAGCCCTCACAAGGCTGGTCTACAACTTGGGGAAAGCTACTGTTAACTCTTACAACTTGACTGCTGATAAAACTACTTATTATAGAATCACTTCTGTGCCTACCCTCTTTAACAAGCTGTTTCTTAAATATCCCTTATCAATTTCAGTTCCTCTGAGACAGTTGAGGATCTTTTTCATACCAGAACAAAGAAAAAGAGAGGTCTCTGTAGGACATTTTGCAACAAAGGAGATAAGGGCCTCCAGATCTCTTTTTCCCCTAAGAGACAGAGGTAATTTTCCACTTTTTTTCTTTGTGAAATGGACTCATTCCCTCTTTTGAACTACTTAATCCTGGCTGGATGAGTATGGCTTGAATTCATACTACTTACCTAATAATTTCTTGCTACTTAGGATGATTTCATATAATCTAATACACTATGCTCAGTTATTTTAAAAAGCACATTGTCACTTACTGAAAAGAATATTTTCATACATCTGATAAGGGGTTAATACGCTTAATATATAAGGAACTCAAATAACTTAATAGCAAGAAAACAAAGAACCTGATTTAAAAATGAGCAATGAACCTGAATAAACATTTCTCAAGTAAAGACATTCGTATGGCCAATAAGTATGTGGAAAAATGCTTATCACCACCAAACAGCAGACAAATGCAAATTAAAACCACAATGCAATGCCACTTCACACCTGTTAAAATGGTTATTACCAAAAGTGATGAAAGGGAACAAGAATTGGCAATCATGTGAAGAAAAGCGAACCTTTATACACTGCTAGTGGGAATGTAAGCCAGTGCAGCCACTATGGAAAATAGTAAAGTGGTCCCTCAGAAAGCTAAACATAGAACTACTATATGATCCAGCAATCCCACTACTAGGTATATGCTTCAAGGAAATGAAATCAGTATATAGAAGAGATATCTACACTCTCATGTTCACTGAGGCATTTTTTTAATTCATAAAAGCCAAGATACAGAATCAACCTAACTGTCCATCAAAGGATGAATAAAGAAAATGTGATATATGTACATAATGGAATACTATTCAGCCTTTAAAAAGAAGTAAATCCTGTTATTTGCAGGATGAACCTGGACTACATCATGTTAAACAAAATAAGCCAGGCATAGAAAGACCAATACTGCATAATCTCACTTAAATGTAGAATCTAAAAAAGTCAAATTCATAGAAATAGAGTGGAAGCGTGGTTACCAAGGGCTGTGGGGTTGGATGATGAGAAAGGATTAGGGAGATATTGGTCAAAGGATACAAAATTTCTGTTAGACATGAGAAATAACTTCAAGATAATCTATTGTATAACATGGTAACTACGGTTAATAACAATGAATACATATACATGAAAATTGCTAGAGTAGATTTAAGTATTTTCCCCATAAATATGTAATACATATGTTAAGTAGCTTGATTACTCCACAATGTATACATATTTCAAAACATGTTATATACCATAAATACATGCAATTTCTATTTGTCAATAACAAATTAAAAGAAATTTGATCCATAGACTCATTAAATTATCAAGTAATGAATTAGCATTAAATAAGCAAGAAGTTTTATTTCAATTTTGCTGTTATTCTCTCCTGAAGTATGAAGTCACCCTAGATATCAGTAAACTATACCCAGTGCCTCATTCAACATCTAGTTATTTGAAGTTAAAATTCTAAATCTCCTGCCAATAGGCACTGCAGGCAAACACCAAACACAGGGAAGGATCACTAGATGGCAGAACACGGGTAATGATCCTTCAGTCATTCTGGGATTCACGAAAGAGGATCAAGTTGGCAATTTCTCAGCACTCCCTAAGAATATGGAATGTCTCAGCACAACTATTCCCCTACGAGAGCCCCTTCCTTAACTGCCTTAATCTACATGACATCATATTGCAGGGATGTGCTAAGTAAGAGATATACAGACATGAGCACATGAACGGGAATAAGCCAGACAAAAATAATCTATACTGTGCATAGGAAAAATAACTTTTAAAATATTTCACGTAAACAGTAAATGTCTAAATACCCCATCTTCTTTTCCTGCTTTAAAAATAAAACAATCATTTTCCAGTCTAATCAAATGCATTTTTGGTACTTTTTTATAAACAGGAATTGAAGTCTATTAAGAACAGAATCCAGCTGGGCACGGTGGCTTACACCTGTAACCCTAGCACTCTGGGAGGCCGAGGCAGAAGGATTGCTTGAGCTCAGGAGTTTGAGTCCAGCCTGTGCAACAGAGTGAGACCCTGTCTCTACTAAAAATAGAAAAATTATCCAGGCACAATAGCTCAAGCCTGTAGTCCCAGCTACTGAGGAGCCTGAGGCAGGAGGATCGCTTAGAGCCCAGGAGTTTGAGGCTGCAGTGAGCTATGATGATGCCACTGCACTCTAGCAGGGGTGACAGAGCAAGACTCTATTTGAAATTAAAAGAGAATCCAAGACTTTTAACTCCAGGATAAACTTGGTGCCCCATGGCAGGTGCAAGCTGTGGATGCTATCTAGTTAAATACTTAAACACAAGAGAAAAATTTACTTTAGCACATGAGAAAACTAAGTATCAGTCTCATAGAACCAGTTCAGTAGATTCAAAGACATACCTGCAGGTTTTCAATTTCTTCTTTGTGCTCCCTCTTCAAGTGTAAAATACCAGCTTGGTATTCTGTAAGATCACAAAAGAAGCCAATTACCAAAATGCACAAAATAGGGCACAAAATTCAAGTGAGCACCACCTAGATTCCAGAGGATCTCCTCCAAATAAACTGAGTAAATATAATAAATGCCACAATTTCATACTAACAAGAGATGTCAACAATTAGAGGAAGATATGACAAGTAGCTCATGATAAAATGGAGATTCCTTCCTTTTAACAAAATGAATTATGAAAAGCCCCAAATTAAGCAGATAGGATAGGGTTAAAACAAACAAAAAAAAGCATGATGACTGTGTTCCAGATAAAGACTGGGTCAGCTGTTTGTCTTTGAGGAGTTGGAAGTTAAGGCCCCACAGAGAACAAATACAGAGGTGTTAAGAGCAGATAGGGGAGGAAATAAAAGAAAACTTTCTATGTGAGATCAGAGGACTCTATTTTTAACTCTGTTTCCAAAAAAAAAAAAAATCTCCATTTGAATGCAAAGCTAAATAAGCACCAGGACTGATTTTAATCTTTAGATCACCTCAGAAAGTCAAGACTATTTGTCATTTGGATGAGAGATTCTAGGGTGAATTGAGGCTGAAGGAAGGACAAAAATAAATTTCTGGTCCAATTTTAATCTGAGTCTAATAATGTTTATTCCAACAATAAATCCCAATTGTACACAGGAACTCCAGCCAACCGCTAAAACTACCATTCCACTGGCTAAGCATGAAGCAACCGAGACAACTTTATTTCCAGCAAAACTGCTAAGCATGTGGGGTCAAGAACTATACACGCTGCAGAAGACAGCAAAGCAAAATGCCGTGAGAACACATTTTTGTGAGATAAGCCAGTTTTATACAAATGTGTGTGGGGTCGTGAGTATGAGTAAGAAAGAAGTCGATGTGACCTCATTTAAAAATGTGTGAAAGACAGGCTATTTCTCCAAGTGCATTTCATAAATTAGGGATGAAAGTTTAGGTTTCAATTCAAAAAAATAGAGAGAAATCTTTGGCAAGCCATACCAGGAGAAGAGTGCTGCTGTTGATAATTATGACAACACACACTGCTACTCATGTGGGGAATGTGCTCCACTGAGTCGTGAGTCCATCGGCAAGTTTTGTGGGTTCTATATCCAAACCTCACCTTGCAGCAAACCACTAGTCGTCATCCCTACCAACACCACTCTAATCCAAGCCACCACCATCTTTCTCCTAGACAACTGCAGGACTCTAGTAGGGTCACTGTTTCACTCTTACCACCATAACTGATCCTCCTGACAGCAGCCTGAGTGATCCATTAAAGACATGCACCAGATCATGCCTCATCCTTAGCTTTCCACTGCACTTAGAGTTAAGTCAAAACTCCCTATTGCGGTCAGTAGAGCCCTTAATGATCTGGCTCCTACGTGCTCCCTACTGTTGTTGTTTCATGTTACTCCCTCCCCTTGCTCATTACACTCCAGACACACTGGCAGCTTTGCTATTCCTTCAACTTGTCCAGTTCTTTTCCACTTCAAGATCTATGCTAATATTGGAGAGGATAATAATGGATTGTATTTATTGACCACTAACTGTATATCTGGCATTATTCTAAGTACTTCATATGTATTAACTCATTTCATTCCCACAATAACCCTATGACATTGGTCCCATTATTATCACCATTACAGATGAAGAAATAGATGCACAGAGAAGTTAAAATAACTTATCCAAAGAAGCAGAATAATTTACATAGCCAGAAAACATGCTTAATTGAATGGGTAAATATAGAAACAAACTGTGCATGTCCATAGAATGGAATACTACTTGACAATAAAAAGGCATGCATCAACATGGATGAATGTCAACGACATTATTCAGAGTGAAAGAAGTCAGTCTCAGAAGGTCAGCTGCTGTTTAATTCCAATTATATAGCACCTGGAAAAGATGCAACTAGAGAAATAAAGAACAGATCAGAACAGTAGTTGCCAGGTGTTAGAGATGGGGTGGGTGGGTTTGACAACAAAGTGGCAGCACATAAAGGAATTATAGGGACTTGACCACTGTTCTCTATCCTGATTATGGTGGTGGTTACATGAATCTATACTGTGTTAAAACTCAAAAAACTATACCCCAAAAAGAAAAAGTTAATTCTTTAGTAGGGTATTTTTTTTAAATCCTGCAAATAGTATATTTTAAAATGTTTTCCCTATAAGATTCAGCATAACCAAGCATGCTTGCTTAGTATCATTTATATCCCTCATATTTCTAGGGGTACTAGCAAATGCAGTAGGACAACAAAAAAGAAACAAACCCATATAGATTATAAAGGGAAAAAAATGAAGGCATGTATATTTAGAAAAATTAGATAAAATATTGGAATATGTACATTTAGCAGAATTGCTGGATATGAACAAAAATATATAAAAATCCTCACACTAGTAGCAAATAGTTCAAGAAAGAATACTTTAACATTTACATTACTCCTGAAAATACAAAATACCTAGAAAGAACTTAACAAAAATATGTAAATACCCCATATGAGAAAATAGTAACATTTGACTGAAATATTTTACTAAGAAAGACACAGAAAGAAAATGAGCAAGCCATGTTTTTGATTGCTAAGACTCAATAATGTAAGGTGCTAATTTTCCCAAATTGATTTACAAATTCAATGCAATTCTTCAAAATTTCTCAAGAGTTGTTTTGTTTGAACCTAAGGAGCTTATTCTTAAATGTATGTGGAAGCATGGAAGTGTGAAATGCCAATAAGAGCCAAGAAACTCATAAAAATATAGATTAAGGTAAGACAACTCACCTCCTAATAAGAATTAATCATTAAAATGTAATTAAAGTCGCATGGTACTGACATGTGACATACGGGTAACAAATGGACTAATAAGATATACTAGAAAGACCAGAAATATACCATGAATTTATTATGGTCACTTGATACAGAAGTAACTCTGAAGATCTTTACTTGCACAAAGAATGGTCTTTTTAGTAACTATTGGCTGGGGAAAAATGGATATTCTCATGGAAAAACATGAAACTGGATCCCAACTTTATAATATATAATAATCCACTCTAAGTTGATTAAGAGCTAAACTGTAAAAAGCAAGACTGTAAATATTTTATAAGATAATATAGCATAATATTTTTATAACCTCAGGATAGGAATTTCTCAAGACTCAAAAAGCACTATGCATGTAGCGGGGGAAAATCCCTGATAAATTTGCTATATTTAAATTAAGAACTTCTTTTTCTCAACATACACCATAAAGAGGGAAAAGACAAGCCATGGGGTGGAGGATTTACACTGGAAACACATATAATCAACCAAGTTCTAGTATAAATATATACATAAATCCTGCAAAACCATGGAAAACAGAGCCCATGTGAAAAATGGGCAAAACCCATCAACAGGCACTCTAAAAAGAGGCCCTAAAAATAATAAAAAGGTTAAAAAGTGTTCTTTCTTATTAGTAATCAGGAATATTTAAAGCCTGACAAAAGAGCATTGGTCAAGATGGAGAGCAATGAGAACTTTCACACGTACAGGAGTGGAAATCTCTGCAATCACTATGGAAAATGTTCCAATTTTTTTTTTTTTTAATGAAGTTGCAGATACTCATACCTCCATACCCAGCAATCCTAGTTTTAGGCACATATAAACAACAAAACTATAAAGGAAAGTAATAACATTAACAAAAGTCAGTAGAATGGTAGCTTCTAGGAGAGGAAGAATTGAGTTACGACTGAGCAAGGTGACGTTACATGAGTGTTCAATGAGAAATTATTCTTTATCCTGTGTTTTACAAATTTTCTCTCTATATATTCAACATTAAAATATAAGAAAAAATTGCTCTTCTTTTGAAAATTGATTACATTAGCTTTCTTACATATTGAAGATTATATAGGTATAAGAATTTCTAAGGTTCACAAAATAAGAAGCATCAATTTAGTAAGTTTGAGTCCTGTGTAAATGTTGAGTCCTAACCTATATGATATCTAAACCCTAATCAATTCCAAGTCTGTACAAAGTAGTCAAAGACAGGCCAGTTAAACCAAGCTTCTGATCCCCCTTGAGAATAACATCTATGTTTTAAATAGAAATTATACAGACTATATTGTGAAATGATTCATTTTGTGTAAATTATACGTATAAGGGTGTGACAGTTATAGTTATGACTAATTAACAAATCGATGGAGATCGTTGCAAAGCCAACACCCAGCAAAGCATGATTCATCCCCTCCTTAAGCAATTATTTTTGTCAACAGTCCCAGTGTGACAGGTGGCAGGAAAACACACCCGCGTCCCAACAAGAATGACAAAATAGAATCTCTAGGCAATAGGTTGGAGGAGGAAGCTAACGCTTTCACTAATGGAACACTCACTTTGGGGGTTCACAAAAGAATGGGAACAGAATACAAAGGTTACAGAACAGTGTCCATGAGGCAAGGTTATGTTGGTGGTTTCCAAACGTGACTTGTTGGTGGCAGCTGCCCCCCACTCTCTGCCACCAAACGTGTTTATAGGCTTGCAAATGCCTTAGAGCAGTCCAAGGTCTATCTTGGGGGTAAGGATTGTGAAGCAGAGTTGTCGATTCAGGACCACGAATGTTTGTGTTTGTTAAAAGAGAACTTGACCCCCAGTATTCAGCATATCTGGGACTCTGCAAGTATATGAAAAAGAGGAACAGAGATTTTGAACATCAGGGCTTGAAAAGGGCAGAACCCTTTAAATTCACTTTAGCCCCAGTGAAAATTAATGAATTCAAATAATTTAGCCAACAAAAAAGAAGCCTGAAGAATGTCTTTTAAGAAAACAATACATTACATGAAAGGCAGAAAGAGAAAAAGGGCTCCTGACTGGCAAGATTCAACATTTTTGGAGAAAAAAAAAAATTAAAGAACTTTCTCCATCAAAATAAAGCTCCTTCTAGTGAAGTGGTTAGTCTAATTGGTTCCTTCCCTTTTTATTGCACAAACTTTTCTTTTTGATCAGTTCACATTAAGGAAATATCCTTTCTGCCAGGTATCATT